TTTATTTCATTTTTTTGGTTTAATAATTTTTTTTATAAAGATAATAATCAAATATTTTGTTAGAAGTCAATGATTATCCTAATTATATTTTAGATTATTTATATTTAAAATGAGATGTTTATCCTATATTTGATTATATTTATCTGCAGTTAGTTACACGAATTCAAACATGAAACTTTAATAAATTGTACTTACGCAAAATTTACTTACAATCATGATTTTTAAGTAATATGCATCAATAAACAGTATTTTCATGTATAAAAGATTGTTTTTAAGAGTTCATGTGAAATGATTTATAATATAGTGTAGATTATGTTAATACTTAGGGGCTGTTTACTAAATTTTCTATTAAGTCCTGTATGGATAAATTCGTCTGTTTGAATAAATTTGTCTGTCTAGATAAACATGTAGTGTTGTTTCTTTTTTCTTCTGAATCAATGATCTGAATGGCAAAACTGACCATTTTACCCTCAATGCACTGAACATTCTTTAACAGCACCTTCCATCCCTAATCAATATCTAATTCCCAAATCTTAAGGATCTACGAACATTCTGAGGTGGAATCTAAACAAGGAAATCATGGGGTGTCCTGTGTCCATTCAACCTAATCTCATACACTTATCAGGAAATTTATGAGCTCAAAAACCCTAAAACCCCACCAAAATCGAAGGTGTGAAACACAAGTTTAAGCTTCTACCAGCTCTTGAAACAGATTCTAAAATGTTCAGAAACAGAAGACTACCCGTGACAGAAGAATGCAGCGATCTAAAGAACCCAAATCCAACAACCATCCATGAACGAAGATCTTCGGATTTTTAGGAATTTTGGAGGTGAAAAGGAGAAGAGTTGCAACTTTCAGAGCCAAATACTTGCTCCATGAACTGGGTGAAGGAGATGATGGTTGCAGAGCTCTGGAGAAGGGAGCCTCGGTACGACGCAGAGCCGATTTTGAATTTTTGGGTTTGTTTTATTAGGGTTTTGAAAGGAGAAATCGACCTGTTGTTGAAAATCGAAGAAGAAACCGAAGAAGACTCGATGGAAGGAGAAATCGCCGGTAACCAGAAAGGAAGAACCAAAAAGGAAGAAGAAGATCGACGGAAAGGAGGAGTGTCTTGAAGAGGCTGAAAGGAGGCGTTGTCTTGAAGAGGATGGTTAATGAAAACTTAGGGGTAGGTGTGTCTTTTTTTGCGCTGAACGTGGACAATGACCCATATCCATCTGTGTGAATAAGTCATGAACTGTGCGAATAAGCTCCCAGTAAACGAGAGATTTTGACTGTGAGAATAAGCCGAAAGTTCAATTAAGTCCATTAAGTCATAAGTAAACAGCCCCTTAGTCAACTGTTTAGAGAGCCACATGTAAACAACCATGCAATTAAGTGGCGATTTGTTGGAATTATCTATACTATATTATAAAGCATTTGACAAAACTTTTAAAAACCATTTTTTATGCATGAAGTAATGTATATTGATGTATATTAATTAAAATTCAATATTACACGGAAATTATGTATAAGCACAACTTATTAAAGCTTCATGTTTGAATTTGTGTAACTAACTGCGAATAAACATAATCAAACAGAGGATAAACATCTCATTTTAAAATATAAAAAATCTAGAATATAATTATGATAATTATCGAGTTATAACAAAATAATTAATTATTATCTTTAAAGAAAATTATATTATTAAATCAAATATAAATTACTTCGTTATTGAACCTAAATTAAATTATAATTAAAAATAATTGAATTAAAAAATTACACAAAAAATGTGGAATTTTAAATAGTTAATTTGATACTAATATCGATATATTTTTGTCAAATTTTTACGATATCTTCAAATTTATATTTTATTTAAAAATAAAAACATTATCGCTTTTTCATAATCACATAAGATCATACTATAACATCGACTGAAATAAAGAATAAAATAAAATATTAAAATCAAAATGTATTTTGTTGGATTGTGCGGTTACCCTTTAATACCCATAAATAGTAATGTAATAGTGTGGCTTTAAGTATTTGACATGTTTGTGTGACGTTGATCTGGATATGATAATATCACACTTATGACCCACGACTTACTATTAATTACCTAATGGCCCCTAAAATATCTTGATGGATAATTCTAACCCTCATAACATAATCAACTACAAATAAGAGCGATTATCATTTCATATATACATGTCGATGTTATGCATTTTGTTCTCTAATAAAATATTTAATAACTTTTGTGTGTGTGTGTATATATATATAGGTGTTAATATGGGAATTTAATTAAAACAAATAATTGTTATTAAATTTGGTTGTCAAAGATTGAGATGTTTATGGGTGAGAAATGTTGATATTTAACGTGTGAGATGACAGGGAAGGGGCACATGGAGAAAGGGTGTGGTCCATCATTTAAACTTAACCAAACAATCCCATACTCCCCTCTATTTCAGTTCCAATTCCTAAGTTGGTTCGGTTGCATACATATATCAATCTTTTTCTTTTTGTTAGGTCACTTCGCGGTCATGTCCTACAATTGTCATGTAGTAAACACTAGACATGTTACTAGTTATCCAACTTTTTTTTAATTGAATGAGTGGATATTAAACCAATCGTCTTTTGTTTCGTTTGTTGGTTCATACAATACAAAAGGAATTAAGGAAGGGCACATGTATGAGTTGATGATTTGAAGATGATGTGTTGTCTACTCCAAATCGGATTTAGGGTGATTATTAGCTTTGAAGCTACTCTACTTTTAAGTTTTAATTAATTGGCCAATTCCTATTTCCTTGGGCTTGGCCCAAGTAACTTGAGGTAGCCCAATTGCATATATATATATATATATATGTATGTATAATGAATGGGCTAACACTTAAGTAATTGATAGTTGATACTCGATATTGATTATTGATATGAATATGAATAAATGAATTTGGTACAGAATTAAATAGTATATTCATATCACCCACCCAAAACTAATGAACTCACCTAAATAAGTTTTAAATATATTAAAGAGAGGAAAAAAACCATGCATAATATATTTATCTTTGAATCAAATAAAATGTAATTGATGAGATTAAAAGTGATCAAGAATTAAAGATTTTTGCTTACACTTTTCAACTTAACGTTTCTTCTTACACTAGTCTAAGTTTAGATAATATAATTATAACATAAATACATATTATATTAATATGCTTCAATAATTATCAATTCACGATCCCAATTGACTTTGCTTCAATTATTTTAACATACAAAACATTATATTAATTTTTTTTTAAAAATCAATACTATAACAACAATATTTATTTAGTAAATACAAGTTTGACATTTAAATGTAGGAATAATACAAAAACCAATATAATAATACACATACACATTCATATTCTCTCTCTCCCCTTCCCCTCAAACTCAAACCTATATTATCCCTTTTCCATAAAAGAAAATAGCTGTAATAAGTTCACCTAAATCAATTCTATAAAAAAGAAAGAGTATTTTACCTTATATAATTATTTAATGATTAAAATTTATTTTAATATTACCCTCTCTTCACTTTTTCCTTATTTAAAATCACTATTTCCATACTTTCCAATATAATTGATAAAAAAAAAAAAAAAAATTAGATGAATTTTACAATCAATAGCAATCTTAAGATTTGTATTTGATTTTTCTCCCCTCTCTCTCTCTCTATATATATATATATATATATGTGGCTTAATCAAAAAATGAAAACCATATATATTTGTAAAACCAATAAGATCCAATATAAATCAATCATCTAAGATACATAATATTATTTTTTAATTAAAATAAAATGACAAATTAGTAATTTACTTGTTATGTTTTTGACAGCTCATCAAACATTTAATAAAATTTATTTTAGGAAACTTATTTATTTTCCTATCATTTTAGGAAACTCATTTAATTAAATTTATTTTCTCATTGAATTCTTGTCTCTAGATTTCATCACAATGAAAACTTTGTGGTTCTTGTAGAGGGTAGTGGTGTTGATTTAGATAAAATGGACGTAAGATGAAGTGCAACTTTCTAGCAGTGAAGGTTTGGTTTGGTTGAGAGAGAAATAAAAAAACGACGGTTGTTGCATCAAATCAAATCATTAGGGTAATTTAGAGTAAACGTGACCTTCCTCTATAAATCGATAAGAAGCTTAATTAATAAATAGTTTGTTTAATAAAAAATAAATGATTTAATTTAACAAACTCCTCCTTCTCTTATCCCTTGTTGGGATAAACAAGTGATAATGTACCATGTCCATATCAACACAACACCAACCTAAATTTATTGATGCAACTCTTTTAGGATTATAACACTATTATTATTATTATTACAAGGTCGGTCGGTCGGTAGGTAGGTATCGTGAGATCATGTATAACTTTATATATTTTATTTTGTTTTGATAAAATGGTGTTTTTAACATTTAATTTATCAATGAAAATTGGGTACCTAGCTAAAAGGTCGTTTACTAAACGCTTATAGGGTAAACATAAGAGTCGTTACTTTTACTTACCTTGTTGGTTAGAATTCATGATCATTAAAATGAATTGTTGATAAACATATTTTATTCGATAAACGCTTAACGGATAAGAATTTTTTCTGTCACTTGTAGGGTAAGATTTGTGATCATCACCACTTAATAGAGGATAAGATAAATAACGATTGATAAAATTTTGTCGGGTAAAAAGACCTCTAAATAATGATAATGATAATGATAATAATAACAAGAAGTTATTAAATTGAAAAGGAAAAAATGGAAGGATGAAATTTTCATTTATTTATTAAATATAATATAATTTTAAAGATGGAATTGAAAGTGAATTACTCGTTTTTAAGTAAAGAGGGAGAGGGAGAGGGGGAGGGGGGCATGAAAAGAAGCAAAAGTTAAGTAATAAGGACAAAACCCAACTACTTAACAAGGGTTTTCATTTCATCCCTTCTCCTTTCTTCCTTTCTTCCTTTCATATCAACAACAACAACAAGAAGAAGAAGAAGCAGCAGAGCAGCAGCAGCAATAATCTGCAAATCTGCAATCTGCAACCTGCAAAATTGATGAAGATGGCTCCATCAAAATTCGATTTTTTTTTTATTTAGATTCCCACCAGATCTTGTCCTCGTTATTCCTCACACAATCTCTGTCACTCTTGTTTTTGCTGCTTTCAATCCCTTTTTAACGTCTTCTTAATTAGATCCCTTTTTGTTTTTTTCAATCTCTCTCTCTCTCTCTCTCTCTCTATATGTTTTGACTCCCAACCCACTCGCTATGGGTCAGTGCTATGGCAAGACAATTCCTACTACCGATAACGACACCATCGTCCAACCTCAATCTCCGCTCCCTTCCTCCGCTAACAACGCCGTCAAACATACTCCTGCCCGATCCTCCAGTCCATGGTCCAGTCCTTACCCTCATGGAATAGCCAGTCCTTTACCTGCTGGAGTCTCACCCTCTCCGGCTCGATCCTCAACTCCCGGTCGTAGGTTCTTTAAGCGTCCTTTTCCGCCCCCCTCACCTGCCAAGCATATCAAGGCTTCTCTCGCTAGGCGATTTGGGCATGCAAAGCAGCCAAGGGAAGGTCCCATTCCGGAGGACGGCGCACCAATTGAACCCGAATTGCACTCTCTTGATAAGAACTTCGGTTACAATAAGAACTTTGGAGCAAAGTATGAATTGGGGAAGGAAATAGGGCGAGGACATTTTGGTCATACATGCCACGCTAGGGGCAAAAAAGGGGACCTTAAGGATCATGCCCTAGCTGTTAAGATCATTTCCAAACTCAAGGTACTTGCTTTCTCACCAATTATTTGTTAATTGCCCATTTTGTAGCTACAATTGAGGTCAATCTAACTACTTTCTTCCAACATTCCTTGAATTTGCTCAATGTTTAGCATTCAAATGTTATCATGTGTGTACCTTGTCAATCATAACAATTACTTATGATCTTGATTGAATTTTCTGTATGCTTGCAATTGAAATGTTATCATCTGTATGCATATACAAGACCACAGTTCGACATTTTTGCCTGGTTGAAGCACATTTCTATCACTAAAGTATATAGTTGAATATTTTGCCTGGAGTTACACCGTCGCTTATTTAAGTTCGGTATTATGCAAGGTTGATGCATGTTCGTAGTATTTAATTCTCGTCAAGTAGTAGCAAATTTGTTTTCTTTGCCGACAGATAGGTCTTCTTATAATGGTACGAGCTGACAATGACATATCCTTCTTTGTCAATGCCCTCTGGATTTCCTTAAAGTGAACCTGCATGTCAATTATCAAGCTTTGTGACAATTGACATAATTGAGCATGGATGGAATGGAAGTGTAAAGATCATACAAGCAACCCTGCCATCATTCAAAGTTTTGCATCATTGACATATGCTTCTAGGTTTAAACTACTAAAAAATATGTAATCCTTGTCAAGTAGTAGCAAATAGAGATAGGTTCCTTTGATAGTGGTATAAAATTGACATGTTGTATTTTGTCAATGTCTCCTTGCCTTTGCTTCAAGTATGTTGTTAATATCTAGCTTTGAGACAAAATGACAAAATTGAGCATGGATATAAGTATTAAGACTGTATGAGTACAACATATTTAATTTTTAGGATGCTCGCAGATATAGAATTTTTTTAGGGATGCTTTAAGCTCAAGTGATGTTGGAGGTTGGTTGTCACATTGCACACTGGAAACCCAAATGCAAGTTTTTACCTTTTAGTAAATGATTTCATTGCTTCACATTTGCTATGGTTCAACCTGGCTTTCTTTCAACATTCGGTCTATGGCTAATAGCTTGTCTAGCTTTTGGAGATGACTTTTTTTATATCTTGTTCTTCTTTAAGCTTATGTGATGTAGACTAAGTAATGGCTATCAGACATGTAGCAATGCAGGGAACTTTGCATGTGGTTATTGGCGATCTTTGTTATGCATTGCCTACTTGGCAAGTCTGTTGACACATTTACAGTTCTATTGATGACATTTAACGTTTTCTAATTTTCATAAATTATATATCGATATTTGGTGGAGCAATAAAATTTATTACTCGACTTATACGTAAAACGGTTCCGATTCTTTTCCCAAAAAACCCATTCCTATTAGGGTGTGTCTTACCTTCTTGGTATTAGCATTAAGTAACATTGTTGTTTACTAATTCCTTTTTCACGTTGTACTTTACTCCTTAGGAGCATTGGTTGCATTCAACTATTAGCATGCGTGGATCATGTTTTGGTGTAGGCATGCAACCACTTTAGTCGATATGATTAGCTTCTGAACTCACACTACATTTTCGCTACACAGCCGGTAACCTTATATGGAATTATAACTTCTAAACTTATTTCTTCATTATCCTAGTCAATCAAAATGCTGAGAAAGCAAATTTTAAATTCAAGTCTCCCATCCACAAGTTTCAGACAGCTCAAATTACCATGTAAAGTAAATTACACGAGTGATTATACCTTGGAAGAGACTAAAGCCTCTGATCTTTGACCGTTTAACATTTGGATGAGCCCTGCAACAAAATGACCAATAAGTGGGTTTATATATCTGCCTTTTGGTGAGAGAAATTTGGGAAATCTTTGCTTGTAACCATCAAATAGCATATGGATGTTCATGTTGAGATATGTGGTAGATGTTGAATTCAAGGAGCATCACTCCAGATGAGTATTCCTTGGTTGCTCATGAGAAAGTTGTGTTGCTTTACTACTACATGACTTCAGATGAACTGGGAAATGGGATTGGTCTCATTGATTTTCTTCTAATTTCGAAATAGCTGAATTTCAGCAGGAGTAGTAGATTGATATAGTTGAGGGGCTATTGGAAAAGAAGAATATCTTTTACATTGACGAAAAAGGTGTTTAGTTTGTATTCAGTGAGAGAAGGTTGGAGAGATAATGCAGAGGTTGAGGTAATTTACAAATTTAAGCATGGAAAGAAGAGAAAGTGTAGTAAAGAGTCTCATAATGACGAGGATTTCATGTCAAAGCATTTCTGCTGCTGGAGATCTAGGTGAACTTTTCTCTGTATCGTAGATACGGCAATGTGTTTGACGACAATTCGAAATATTACTGTGCAGAAATGAAAATTGTTGGTAAACATAACTTAATATGTTAACGGAAAAAGGGGCAGAAAATTATGCTTTCTTAGCTAATGAATGCAGTAGCTAATATGAAACACCCTAGCAACCTGTCATCGATAACTTACCTGTTCCAAAAATTGAATTTTCTATCTGGTCATCTCTTCTTAAGTTCTGGTATTGAAGGATGGAAAAACTTTGAGGATATCGAATGCATGAACAATGATTTCCTATCAGATTTCAGTTTATCATCGTCCTTATCCTATAAATATGTGTGTTCCTATATATATATATATATGTATGTGTGTGTGTAATTGAAATTGGCATTTAAACTCAGATTATGTAATTGTTCATGATGTGTGCTTTTATATAATCTTGGTGTAGTTTTATCGTAACTAGTATCTTTTTGCAGATGACAACTGCAATTTCAATTGAGGACGTGCGTAGAGAAGTAAAAATATTGAGAGCTCTTTCGGGCCATAAGCATCTGATTCACTTTTATGATGCATGCGAAGATGCAAACAATGTATACATAGTGATGGAGTATGTCCCTCCTTTGGCTCTTTTTGTTGGACTGTCAAAAGAACTCCACTATATCTGCTATTATTTTTGTATGTCTACATACATATGTCATGGTTATGTCGGGTTCTATAACTTATTTACAGTCTCATTGACTATATTCAGACCAGAAGTCTGTGTATGATTGTCAATTAGAGTTTTGTTGCTTGTGTAAGTGTTCCCTTTTTTTTTTAATACACAGATTGTGTGAAGGTGGAGAATTACTTGATCGAATATTGTCCAGGTAAGAGGAAATCCTATTTGAAATTCAAGTTTCCTTGAATAAATCTAGTTGCGTTATTGACACACTTTGTTTTAAATGCAGAGGTGGAAGATACACAGAAGCAGATGCAAAATTGATAATTGTTCAGATATTAAGTGTCGTTGCTTTTTGCCACCTTCAAGGTGTTGTGCACCGTGACCTAAAGCCTGAGGTTTGTAAGCTCTAAAATATGGAATCCTTGCTGAAAAATTATTATCTTTCTATTTCAAACCATTTAAGTTTGAAAATATAATGTTTTGTCGTTATTAAACCCTCTGCTAAATTTCTTGTCTCAGAACTTCCTTTTCATGTCAAAAAGCGAAGATGCTGATATGAAGCTTATTGATTTTGGCCTTTCTGATTTCATCAGGCCAGGTAATGGTTAAAGATTGTATTGAATTGTTCATCACTTCATCACACGTTTGAACGAACCCTTTCTCTTGATCTGTCCTCTCTGCCAATGTGACTTGCCCTTTTACAATGTGACTTGGTTTGAACCTGTAAATCAGCACTAGTGTTTATGCAAATTATATGTATTAGATTCTATTAGCGAAGAGGTTTTAGGGTGTTCACAAATCACAACCGGTTGTATCTTTTCTAATAATGATCTGGCATTAGGCACTCTAGTAACTAGAATACCACACAGAACCATAAAAACAGGCTTTATTGTCTTTAATGGCTCCTTGGCTTTCAACTTTAAGGTACAGTAGGAAAATGAAAAGTAGGAATATGCTCTTTTCGGTGGTGTGCCTAGCCAAGAGAAGTAGTACACCTAAAATGTTGTAGTTTCTTTGATTCTATAGCACTGCTGTTAGTTTGCATCATCATAAGTTGATGAATTTGAACATTTTTAGTTTCAAATTTTCTAGGTTTTTCCAGTCTGTGTTCGAGAAAATATTTTTCTATAAGAAATGTAATATCACAGAGGAAAATGCATGTATGCTTGGGATAACAAAGATGGTTTCAAATACATTGTTCTCCTCTGATTTACTCTGCGTTCTTCTTCAATAGATACACTATCATAACGTATAACTATCTAATGTTACTTCGCTTCACCTGCCTCCATGGAACTTGAGATAGTGCAGCAGACATGCCTAACCATCCTGAAAATGAACTTACGAAGTGATTATGACCTTCTAACCGAGAGCAATGAAGCAGAAAATGGTTCAGGTGCTTCCACCCTAAATGGTGAATTCCAAAATTTAAATGTCAAACTCAAAAAGTGCAATCTCAAAGAAGCTTAATTTTAATGGCGTCTTAACATAACACAAGAAGAAACAACCCTGTTTTCTACAAATTGGCTTCAGGAAGGAGACAAGGGAATCATTCCCACACCTTGTTTAATGCAGGGGATATGCATGCCATATTGGGTGTCATCTTTGTTTTTTTCTTCATATATATATATATATATATATATATCTATATATATATGTATATATTATGGCTTTTTAATGTAATTTTATAGGAGACAGTTGATGCATATAAGTATACATTTAACAGTCTTTTGTATGATAACTCCTGCTAGTACATGCTTTCTGTCCCAAGTTTATTTGATGGGTGCATGCTAAGCTTCTGTTTGTGTGTGCTGCAGAAGAAAGGCTTAATGATATTGTTGGAAGTGCATATTATGTTGCACCAGAAGTTCTGCATAGGTCTTATAGCCTGGAAGCAGATATATGGAGTATTGGTGTTATCTCGTATATTTTGTTATGTGGGAGCAGGCCATTCTGGGCAAGAACGGAATCTGGGATATTTCGTGCAGTACTGAGAGCAGACCCTAATTTTGATGATATACCTTGGCCTTCTGTATCACCAGAAGGCAAGGACTTTGTTAAAAGGCTCTTGAATAAGGACTATAGAAAGAGAATGAGTGCTGCTCAAGCTCTGAGTAAGTTTTCATGTGCTTTGATGTTTTACAGTAAGATGAGTTACAGTTGATAAGGAATGATGCATGGATTGTGTGAATTGCAGCTCATCCATGGTTGTCAAGCGAAAACCATCCAATTCCTTTAGATATATTGATCTATAAATTGGTGAAGTCGTATCTTCATGCTTCTCCATTCAAACGTGCTGCACTGAAGGTATAGATTATCGATATATGCATCATGGTTTGGTTGGTTGATTGGTGCAAATGAGAAGGAGTTTGATTGCATGCAGGCACTGTCAAAAGCTCTGACAGAGGATGAATTGGTATATCTGAGAGCTCAATTTATGCTTTTGGAACCAAACAAAGACGGGCGTGTATCTCTTGACAACTTCAGAATGGTAAAATAAGTAGGAATGCTAATATTTGGTGTATTGTGTAAGTGGGTAGGGTGCTAATGAAGTGAGGGTTATGAATTTGCAGGCTCTGATGCGTAATGCTACAGATGCAATGAAGGAGTCTAGGGTCCCTGATATTCTAAATGCGGTGAGTGAGATTTAAATAAATAAATAAGGAAGAAATAATGATAGAGATGTGGGTTGGGTTAGTGAGTCAGTGTTGTTGGCTGTGGTTGTAGATGGCTCCTCTGTCTTATAGGAAGATGGACTTTGAAGAGTTTTGTGCAGCAGCCATCAGCACGTATCAGTTGGAAGCCCTTGAAACGTGGGAACAGATTGGATCAACGGCATTCGAATACTTTGAACAGGAGGGTAACCGTACAGTGTCGGTTGAGGAACTTGCTCGGGTATCTTATCTATCCATCTCTATCTATTTGGGATTGTTTAGTTTTGATGAATGAAATGAAATGCATATATGATATGATATGGTATGGTATGGTATGAATGATTGTAGGAACTGAACGTGGGGCCTACGGCACATACGATACTGAAAGAATGGATTAGAAGTGATGGTAAACTGAGTTTGCTTGGTTATACCAAGTTTTTGCATGGAGTGACCCTTCGCAGCACCTCAAACACAAGACATTAAAATGAATGAATGAATGAATGAATGAATGATCATTATAAGCAGTTGAGTAGAGATAAAAAAAACAAATATCTTGTTTTTTTGTTTTTTGCGATTGCTTGAATTGAAGAGCATGGGAGTGTAGAAATGCATATAGTTTTAGTGGAGGAGACGCACACAATTCAAAGGATTCTTCTTCTTCTTCTTCTTGTTTTTGTTTATGTTTGCTTACCTCCCAACATAAACACTTGGGTTTGGTTTGTTTTGTTTTGTTTTTGTGAAAGGAAAAAAAGAAAGACAAGATTTCTATGATATGATATGACAAAACAATCCTTTCTGTGTTTCCTAAATATGATTTAAAACCCCTTGTTTAATTTCAAAGGAACATAACATTTATAATTTATTGAAGCTTTTGTTAACTTGATGGATTATGAAACAAACACATATTATTAATTATTTTATTATTAAACTAAAAATCTCTACTTTTTGTATTTTAATGGTAATGAGAAAAAGTAGGTGGCAGGCAGAGAGTGGGTTTATAAATCATAATCATGCTCATGCTCATGCACAACTCCTCCTCCTCCATTCTTTTTTCTTTACATAATAAATAAATAAATATTATTAAACTATTTTTTGTTTTCTTTTTTTACTTTTACTTCAATAGTTCAATTCCAATCTTTAATTTTGCACATCCCAACTCTCAAAAATACTTCCAAAACAATTACAAGATTTATTTTTATTCGTCATTCAACATCAACTTTGCTTTCCAATATTAATTATTGTACACCTCCACATGTTCATTATAAATTTAATATAAATTGTTTATGACGTTCATTTTTATTAATTTAACAACAAACAAACAAATCAAATCAAATTAAATTGTTTTAATAAAACGGTATAAAGTTTACAAGACAGATGCTCCAATCATATTCTAACAAACAACCCTATTATTATTATAATAAACAATACATTATCATTATTAATTTCTTATCTTTGACTTTCATACTATATTCTATTATAAAACATTTTATAAAAACCATTTTTTATATCTGCTTATTGATGTATATTATTTAAAATTTAAAATTACAAGTACATTATAACATCGACAAAAACCAAAATATTAAAATAAAACATTGAAATCGAGATATATGTTCCTAAGTACAATTTTAATAATTAAATATAATTTTTGAACGAATACTGAATTTAATTTTATAAACATGCATCGTATACGTTTGGTTGATGGAAGTTAAAGAAGAAAAAGACAACATTTTTTAAATTTAAAAACATAGGATTTGAAGGGATGTGTAATCACGAGATTGGTTTCGGCTTTTGTACATCAAACTTTATGACATGCTCATCATTAACTTTTTATAAATATAAATATAAATATAAATAAAATCCAATGGAATTTGAAAATGATACTAATTAACTTCTTACTATAAATGAAATTGTATTATTTGATGAAAAATGGAAAATTAATCATAAAATCTTAATAAAAAACAAACAAAGAACAATAAAATTTCATTTAACAAACACTAATATTAGTATATATAAAAACTTGGAAATCTTATAACATATACTTTGATTCCCTTTTGTATACAAGAATTCTATGAAAATCAAAATCAAAATTTAGCATTTAACAAAGCATGCTTTAGCTTGGTAAGGATATTATATTATAACAAAAAATAGATATATATTTTTTTAATAACAACTTTAATATGTTAGAAATTTTGTTGGATGATGTCTTCATGATACTATATTTTCTAAAATACTACTGGGAAATGGGAAAAAAAGAAAATTCATATTTAAACTTTATTTGTTTTTGTAGTAAAAAATGGAAGAGCTACAAACCTTGTCACACCCTATTTTCCTAGGGTTGGTTGTAACAATGTCTACGATTTTAATAACATGAATTATTCGATCAATTATATATGATTATTTAATAATATAAAATTTGATTTATTTAATGAGTTTCTAGGAGAAACCAAACTTACCCTTCTCAACTCAATTAAAAAACATGTTCATTTCATCTATAATAATTCATACAAATAGATTCATAACCCTTAAAACATGTTACATCAGTAGCAATTGAAACATGGAAACATTTATAAAATTCATTTCATTTTCTTGGGGGTAAAAAGAAAAAAAGGGATTTGGTGGGTATAAATGGAAGAGGTTGGAGCACAAGTTCAACTCCCCCTCCCTTGGGCCTGGGCACACTCCTTCCTTCCTTCCTTCCTTAATTAATTTACAACTGATGATGTTAGATTCAGAGTTGAAGATAATACAACAGCAGAAAAGGTTCAGCCAAGAACAGATCAAATCATTGGAGGCCATTTTCCAGTCTGAATCCAAACTCCAACCCAGAAAGAAGTTGCAGATAGCTAAAGATCTTGGATTGCAACCCAGGCAGGTGGCTATTTGGTTTCAAAATAAAAGAGCAAGATGGAAATCAAAGCAACTACAAACAGATTACAACATATTAAGGCTCAGCTATGATTCCCTTTCTTCAAGATTTGACATCCTCCAAACACAGAATCAATCATTAACCCTCCAGGTACCATTTCTGTAACTAAAACCATGGTGTTGTTTCTCTTCTCTTCTCTTCTCTTCATCTTAAATCTTAAATCCTTTAATTAACAGTTGAAGAAGCTGCAACAAGAGATGGAGAAAAAAGCAACCTCAAGTTCAAACAAATCCATGGGCATTGTTGTATCAGATGCTGATAGCATAAAACCACCAGTAGAACAGAGTAGTATGATACATGGGCATAGAGATAAATGGGATGATTTGGATATGAGTAACCAATGGTGGGAGTCATGGTGTTGAAGTGGACTCTCTTTCTTATGTATGTGAATGAGAATGTGAATGTGAATGTGAATGTGATTTATATACAATAAGGAAAGGATGGGCATCATCTAATACTATTAATCATACAACCAAAAACCCAAATACATTTACTTGCTTGCTTGCTTGGTTTCATGTTAGTGTTATAAATACCATAACATAATTTCATTCACAAAATAATGTATATGAGTATCAAAACATGCATGTTAAAGAATTTCATTGTAATTATTCATTCTAGTCTAGACTCTAGAAGTAGAATATTATATTATCTCCAATTCTCTTAATGATAATGTATAAATATAGCATTTATAAAAGTGGCGTTATGTTTAAGAAAGAGGAAAAGCTTATAAAATACTCATGTATCCTAGTTTTTTTGAGCCATACTGTACTAGACCCTCCATTCTTAAGTTATATATGTATGATGTATCATTCAATTTTGGTCCAATACTAAATACGTGACAAACTATTTATAGTTAGGCATTGGGATTTGGATATATGATTTATTCTAAAATTAAACATCTACATTGGCTGCAAAACTTAAAGATTTTGAGTATAGATCATCAAGATTTTGTGTTAATTTTAAGCAGTTGGGATAAGATGAAAAGTAAATTATGTAATCAACCAATCTATCTATCATTTGTGTGTTTTCAAAAGGAACAAATTTATGCAACTCATGGTAATATAAACAAATAGTCATGTACAATATTTCAGATTTAACATGACCTGATTGATCTTAACCATCACAAATCATTCAGTTTCATTTCATTATATGGCAATCAGACCATTCGATGCTTTGAAAAGTATAAAGATCCTTCAAATAAGATATGATAATAAGAAGAGGATCAAAATCTCACCATACTCCAGAAATGCACTTGATCTTCTTCTTTGGCCTCAACTACAATTTCATTTTTATATATAAATACACACACACACACACACAAAATTTAACAACCTACCTCTTTCTTTCTAAATTCTAAATTCGAAATTCTAAATTCTAAATTCAATCTCATGCAAACAGAAATAGATCTTACTTGCGGCAGATGGTTTTATCCTGGTTGTATTTCCTCGCTAACGCCATCAAAGATAGTTCAATTAAGCGTCAACACGAAATGAAAAGAGTAGACTCTGGACACATTTCAATTAAGCACAAATCAACACTTGAATTAATTACCAACTCAACTCAAATAAGTACCTTTCTGGATGGTGTAATCTACCATCCTCTAGCTGTTCTCCAACAAATATGCAGGTCCGGTGGAATTCCTGATGATTGGTATTTGTAATTGAAATGCCTTTAGATCATCAAAATCAAAGCCTTATATAAAATTATCCTGGATGACATTGTCGATTGTATCGCTAGAGGTGATTATGCTTTCACGAAGATCTGCATTTTCAGTTCTGCCGCTTTTCCAAAACCAAAAAGATAAACTGATATGGGCTAAACCAAGCCCAACTATAGCTTATTGGGCTCATTCTTATATTCTAATTGGTTTTGGCCCATTCACTTCATCTTGTTTAAATGGGGTGTGTCATGTGTGTGTGTGTGTATTTATCTTTCTTAAGATGCCATGTACTACTTATTATGAGATATCATTCTAAATTGGTTTTACTTTTAATTTATCTATTTGAATATCAAATCAAGGTTTGTAGTACATTACATGTCAAACTAAATGGTGTGGTGTATGTCATTTTAGATATAAAAAGACCTTTTTTATATTTTATATTACAGTAAAGCTTGTTAGCTAAGGTGATAGTGGTTTCAAACAATTACATTATAAAAAACAATAACATTGGTTACATAATAATACAAAAATCAATGAAAATAGTTGATTAGTAGTCGATGATTGGTGCATTACCAATAACTAAATCGGTAGGTCACCAAACCATAAATATTATTTTCTAAAAACATATTTCTTATTAAAAAAATATGGCTAAAGTATTTATGATTTTATTTTCGTTATGAATCAGGTCTCCTATATGTCTTGAATCAAATTTTCGTATGGATTTAAGAGGTAGGTAGGTACTTTTCTTCGAGCGACTCAAAATTGGATTTGTTTTTGGATTTAAGTATATTTATAATTAAAGGTTTGGATTAAGGTTAAGTTTTATTGTTTAAGGTTTGAATTTGGGTATGAATAGATGTGTGATGGCTGAAGATAGGAGATTGATTATTAGCTTGGGTAAATGAGGAGGAGACTTGTGGCTGTTTATTTTTTTGTTTCAAGGAGTTGTACGATTAGGTAGCATATGCATATGAAGTTGTATAGTAAAAAAGTACTAAATAATACCCCTTATATAAGGGAGCTCCTTGATCCATAAAAAATAAATAAAACCAATAACATTCTATTCTCAATCATTGATATTCCAGTTCAGAGAGCTTCATAAATTTGTATTTACTCTAAAATATCTATACTATCTTATAAAGCATTTGGCTAAAACTTTTATACCCTTTTCATATCTGAATTCATGTAACTAACTGCAGATAAACACAATCAAATACAGGATAAACATCTCATTTTAAATATAAAAAATCTAAAATATAATTAGGATAATCATTGAATTCT